AGTACCTAACCGATATCTAGGTATGTAGATACATAGACATATGTAAATAGAATGACCGAACACACGTAGGTATCTACCTTAACAACATTGGGATGTAAGTACCTATGTATAAAGTTAAAATAGGCTTAAGTAAATGCAAGAACCATTTATTTCAATATTTACCTATGAATAGGTACCTAGGTACCAATTTACCTACTTTAAGTATGACAATGTCTGTACGCTATTCCAAGGACTAAAGCGACTAGCTTGCATCCTCGGCACATCCTTTCACGACCTACAATAAGGCATTTATGAATGGGCGCTTAAACAAGTGATTGCCTACTCACCTCGCAGGTATTTTATTTTAAGCAAGATTCGCGGTAACATCGTGTTTGATTATTGCATTGAATAGCTTTGGTATCCAAAATTCGCCTACATGGATGATTTTGATTGTCTTTGTATAGCATTCTGAAGTAGGTATCTAAGCAGTACTTTGTTACCATTGAATGATGATGATTACCTTTGATAAATCATTGAATGACTTCTCCCGTCTGGGTGAGTGAGGCGGGAGGGAGTGTCAGACTCTTACTGACTAAAAACCATCCCGTTTTTCAACCATTCCTGCACTTCGAGCCGGAGCCCCAGTAACCCGTTAACTTATTCGCGACTCCGTATCGGCATCAGTCCGATTGGGCTATATTTAGCTGTTCTAAGGACATCCTAGTTCTATCTATAACTGACATAGGGAATAAATATTTACATTTTTTTCCAAATGTAGTCAGACTTATAAACTGACTTACTTAACAATTATTGCTTATATTTTTAATCTTTGTACAAGTACAAAATTAAAATAAGCTGTTGATCATAGAGGCGTCTATCTAATTTAATTGTCTGTACTACAATGAATTATGAAATGAAAACAATTAACGACGCACCTACTGATTACCAAGCACCCAAGTAATTGTAGCTATTGATCTAACATCAACCGTCTATGAAACATATTAAGACTATGCTGTTAGGAAGTTATGATTCGATTAACCTACAAAAAATGCACCTTGAACTTTATGTACTGACAATGAGAAAAACGATAATGACCATCTTCGGCAACCCTTCACTTCGGTTGTAATGAAGTGTTGATGACACCATTCCTACGTACGCAACGATTACTAAGTTGTTTGACTCATTGTACAACTACCTAAATGCATTTTTAAAGTAGGTACCTAAGCATTTTTATTACAATGAGGCACCTGACTAGATAGGCTATGAATTACACTAGATATTACTGTTCTAGGTAAGTAAATAACTGAAACTTAAATAACACTTTAAGAATAAAATAAAGGACTGTAAAAAGGAATAGGTAGGTATGTACCTACCTACTTATCTTATCATAGAGTTACCTTATACCTAATTTTGAACCAGGTCACTGCATTGCATTCTCATAGCTTGTTAAAAATTTACGCATTTAAAATAAATTTAACCCAGTTTCAGAATTTAGGGTGTCAGTATAAAATTAAACTTCTAGACTTCTAAATTAGGTAGGTACATATTTCTAGAGGTAAGTAGTCTTAAATTAGCGTACCTACTGATCTCTAACTATAACAGATTACTTAAGTAAGTATCAATTGGAAATCGCTTCTAGCAATCCCATTAAACTGTACTAATGAAACCGTAATAAACTGTGATTAGCGTTCCTTAACAAGTTTATACACATTGCAGGAACATCTATTACGAAATCTTACGTTTGAAGACAAGCCTACCAGCCTACACCACACTATAAATATGACCCTATTAAACCTGTACTGTAGATACCTATTGTGTTATATTAGGAACCTAGGTATTAGTAAAAAGTGGGTGTTACATTGTACAGTGGTATAATGTGCACCTCTGCCTACCCCTTCGAGGATATAAGAGTGATATTATTATATAAAGTAATGTATTAGTAAATACTGCACAACTACCTAATATATAATTGAATTCGAGATGGCACTGGTGTTAGAGGCCTTAAATAGCATTGGATACTTATTCAGATCCAATTTAAAATGTAGTTTCGGCTAGGCAGTCATTCGAAAATATATAGGTACCAAGGTTTGACTTGAACTGGTGTCCATTCTTAGATGAAATAATACTAACAGTTAACCATGATCTACCTGTCCAAGGCATTGAAGGTAGCCCAGTGACCTAATTGGTTGAAGACCTGATATAGCGGAAGACAGGGCGGCCATTGCGGTAGAACGTACCGGCCACTTCCGCGCATTGTGGCTGCGAATCGGGTCGCGAGTGCAGGCGCATGCTCCATGCTTACGACATAGCACTTCACACCATGTGTGCGACGCACCCAATAAGCGAACAGGTCTTCGAACGGTAATTGCTTAAGACGATCCTCGATTATATTACGTGCTTTAGAGTCGCTTCGTACTTATAGAGAAATGTTTAGGTACCTCCAGCAACAAGTGAACAGGAAAACATGTTGGTACTCCATTTTTTTTGCTAAGAAAACGTTGCCCCACACTAGGATTTTCTCCTGTGCGTTTACAAACATATAAGTTCACACACACATGACACTCAAAACCGAAACAACAATCGAACAAACACAGAGAGTTGCTCCGTGCGGAAATCGAACCCGCTACACTGTGCGCAACAGCCAGTTACCTAGCCACCGCAACAACCATGCAGTCATTAATTCGTAGGTACCCAATGATTTGATTTCTCGTTATAAGATTGAAGTCAGCACTTTGTTTTTAAGGATGTCCAAAACTTATATTTTTCATGTAGCGGCTGCCCGCTTTGCAAATAACCCGCAATCTATTCGAAAATAGTGCTCGTTTTTCTAGACGGCATATTATATCTTCAAAAAATAACTAAAGTTCCTGCATACAAACTTGAAGCATAAGGGCTTTATGATCTATGATCAGTAACCACGATCATAATACTTGTGTTGAAATAAAATTGTATTTTATTATTGATCGTTGAGCACTGTGCATCATGTGCATGCATCCTCAGTACATTCGTGAATCGTGAAATAGTTTCACACGGCTAACCCAGCAAAAAAGGTTAATTATCTAATATAATCTAACGCGATTAGATGAATATAATTAGGTACCTAGTGACTTTATAGGTAATTTGGCTTCAAGAAAATAAATAACTAATCTGTAAGATGATGTGAACAAAATGTAATTTAACAACACCCACACCCGTCTTTGATTACATACTCGATCATAATAATTTGTGTATTCATATTGTATGCAGAATATAAATAAAAAACTTGATGCACATTACTTTGACTTTTATTATTTACAATATATTAATATTCTCTTTAATTTTTTTCAGTTTTTTACGTTATTTTTCATTTCAGGCACTAAACATACATCCTTTCATTTTATTTAAGCGTAAACACACGTTTATTTAAACAGTTATATGTAAGACCTCACTTTTCGAATACAAGTGCAACATAAGTGGCCACAAACTATGACAACTAAATTAAATACTTTTAGCAAAAATCGCCTTTGGCGTAGAGAGATCACCTGCGCAATAATCTCATTACAATATGGCTTAAGTAAGCTTTTAACCTAAACTACTCACTAGAACAGCGTTTCATTAAGCTATAACAGTTATTGCACAACTTAATAACAAACAATTTAGCGCAGAAGAGAAGAAACGTATTAGGGCTGACATTATATTAATTTTAATAAACGCCATCCCAGTAATACAGATAATATAGCAACAACAATCCAAAATAATAGATAATACACAAATCCTGCGTAGATTACCTAATTATACCTAAATACTAACGTAATTTTATATTCCAGTATAAATAAGTTAAAAAAGTGAGGTCCGTCAGAGGTGTTGAGATGGAAAAGAGATTATTAGGAAATAGGTAGGTACACAGTATGCTGAAGTGTGTACAAGCCGTGTCCTTTTAGATAGAATATCCAAAAACATGCAAATTTGTTCGCATACCTTTAACATTCTTTTATAAATTCCAATCGATGACATTTAACGACATTACACAGACAATTTAATGTAATCGCCATTATAACTTGTACTTTACATCTAACAACTAAAATAAGAAAATCGATCATACCCGAAACCTTTCAATCGACATATGCATGCTAACTGTAACTCACAATCAGCAACGTTAGTCCGACATCGACATTCCAACTAGTGAGGAAGCGTGGGTTTCGGTCCAGGTGACATCAACATTCAACAATACAGCTGATCGATATTTAAAATGAACATCAAGTAACTTAAAATTGATAAAATATAATCGGTGCTTCCCTCTTGGCAAGAACTCTATTTTTAATTTGGTTTTATAGCGATATTTTTTATAAAAATATTTATCTTTTTTATTGCCACGATAAAATTTGAGATCTACTAATTACACTAAATACATGTTCACTTTACACCATACATCTTGATACACAAATAAAACAGGTACTATTTTACATTTATGATATTTTGTTTTGTCATTGTATGAACTCCTTGATATCTAATTGAATATACATACAATGCCTATGTAATATTGGTTATAACAGAAATATGTGACTGAACGTCATATCACAAAATTTACTATAATTTATTGGTCTCTCAATGTATGCATTCAATCACATATTTCTAACGGGGGTGTTAAACACAGTAATATTTAGAGGAGTACAGAGAAACCTACGTGTAACATCCATACACAAACAAATAAATAGTAATATTAAGTATACCGCAGCCGTAAGATTTTGTTCAGAGCAAATGATACATCAAATGTAACCAAAATCTGGCTACTATCAATTTAGCAACACAACGGGTGAGAACGGAAGTCTCAGGCGTAACTGTCCGACATCAACAGTGGAGATAAAATTTGTGTTAACATTAACGACTAAGTGGAGAAACAAGTAACCGGAAATAACTTGGAACATGTATAGGAGTAATGAACGCATTCGATGTTAGTGAGGATGCGACGCCGCGACGTCAGGGCTGGCGCCACGTCAGGTGAGGCGGCACGGCGTCAGGCCGCGCGGGGCGCAGGCGCAGCATCACGTCAGCCGGCACGACGGCAGGCGGCCGCACGACGAGTGCCAGCGCCGCTTGCGGCCGCGCGACTCCGCGTCCGACAGCTCGGCCGTCGACAGCGTGCGCGACCCGCCGTCACCCAGCTCTGGAACACACACACCGCTCACACCACATGCTCTCCTGGTACTCCATCCTCTACTCCTTGCCACATTCTTGTTAAGTTCCGTGTTAACAAGCGTTATATTTGTAAGCAGGAGCCAACTAGCCACCAACGAGGAATCATACAGAATCGTATCACTTAATATAATTTTCATTCTCAAATGAAGCTAATCCAACTGCTATATTAGTGAAACACTAGGTACACGCAAAAATACAGTATGTATATAGAAAATATATTTTACTGTATTTATTTATCGATCAACGTAATAATTTGCGTCATACATATTATTATATTTTGGGACATGAATTAGTATATAAATAAACCTAATATTATTGTATTAACGCATATTGAGGTATTCGGCTATTCATAAAGATAATACTGATAGGAGAAAAGCCACAAAGCATATAGGGGGCTCGTCACTCGCATGCAACGAACCTAACTCAAGGAACAAACGCGAGCGCGCACGTGACCGGCTATGCGCACTTCTTCAGGCTCTGAAAATTGTAGGCTCTCTATTTACTTGTATTCGTCACATTGACATGTTTCTGTCAATTGATTGAATTATCATACACAAAAATGACTTCATCGCCTACGATAAACAAATATCGTCTAAAATTATAAATTGCAAACGTCATAGTAATAGGTACTTGGTAAATAAACTAACTGGCATTCAGAGACCATTTTAGAACACGTTTATCAGGTTGTATCGACCTTGAAAAAATGTATTGTTGTCTTTGCTTAGCAACAGCTTAAGCTCATGATGATGGCAAAAAAATATATAAAAAATAATAAAAGAAAATATATTACTCTACCCGTTGGAAACAATGGTATCGTAAAAATCGTCATCAGTGTCTGACTGACCGTGTCTGTAGTCTCTTTCAGTGAAGTATTCCTGCGCCGAAGGGTAGTGACGTTCTACGAGGTACGGGATGACAGTGGAAGTGTGAAGCTCGTCCGACCGACGAGATCTAGGAGTCACCATCCGCTCACCTGCCTCCAAAGGAGGACGAGCTTTTACCCAACTGTAACAAGAAAGGAATTTTTTAAACAAAGTGATTCATTAAAGATATATCTGACAAGTGTAATATAGAAAGAGGGAAATAGTAATCAATCTCAGAACTTTAACCAGATGAGGCTAACATGGCAAGTAGTCAAGTTACATAAAAAATCTGTAGTAAGGTTGAAATCTAGTGAATCGAAAACTTTGTATGCGACGATCGTGCCTACAATTTCAACAAACTACTCGACCGACAAAGCAATCGTGTCTTATCTGCTAATATTTAAAGTGATATTATAATTACATATCAATTATGTAATCGATTGTTAACAGCGATAGCTTTAAATAGAGTTACGAAAATAACGTTGTCTACTGGATCTTAGCATCAATATAATAACGATTAGTTTTACTTTGAGAAATATCGATATCGATAAATGAATTGGCAGTCAAATATGGATATGTGCAACTATGCTCCTTTGATTGCCCTTCAGAAACTGTACTTCAGAGATCGAGTACTTGCGTTTGTTATAAATAAACATACAGTAACTGATGATAACAGGGCTATCAGCAATTTATTATATTATTGAATAAACAAAGTACTTAATTCTTCCCTTTGTTAGTTATAACAATACGAGGCCATTTTCCTGTTGCAACACTGCATACTGGTTGGATTTTTAATGAATTAATAAAAAATCGTACAGGAAAAAATATAAGGTATAGTAAAATTATACTACCTATAAACGCAACTCCACTGTAGCATCAACAACTTGCAGAATATGAAGGCCAGAAACGGAGATAATTAAAGAAACAACTTGGTATCGATAATACATAATATTATTTTCTTCCAAAGCACATTTATAACAAAGATACAAATATTACATCTCCTCTCGTCAATAGTCCCGCCAACAGAATGCCGCCATCCGTTCAAAATCCCATTCGTTTTCCCGCCTTTTCGACCGCCGTCCCGAAATCGTCCAATGACGTTTCGAGAATTCAAGCCCGTTCTATTTTTTCAAACCCGCGTTCTCGATGTCATCAGTTGACATTTCGAGATCCAAGTCCGTTTTATTTTTATATTTGTTTATGGTCAATCACAAAGAAGTTTAGTCTATTACACAATAAAAATACAAATTAAATAATTAAATTAAATCATAATATTAATGAACCCTAACATACCTATACCTGTGAAAGGCAGACACATCCAATGATTCAACCAACTAAATGATAAGTAATTTAAGTGACGCAAAAGTTATTATTTTACTTTAAACTGTCAAACACCAAGTGGTCACCGGTGACCGCGACCTATTGTTCTTTAATTGTGTCTATAAAACCGGTACTCGACGAGTTAAAAATTTAAAACTTCGAGAAAACAATCTTTTAAGTGGGTACAAAGTTCTTCACCTTAGCATTATAAAGGCAAGTACCCACAAGTGTGTTTAAAATTAGCATTATTTACAGTTTCGCACATTATCCTTGATATTAACATTTTCTTTAAACTAAGTGCGAAGTTGAACAAACAGAATGGGTCTTTATACGTAAAGACATAAAATCGACAAGCACTAAGTAGATAGGTGCCATAAAATGTTCACCTTAGCATAACCCCGCCTTTTTATATGCAACTTTGTAAACATTTAGGTATATTGCCGTCAGAAAGGAATATTATTAAAGGAACTGACTTCCGATACGTTTTATTATTATGGGCACAAATACGAACTGTAACAGTAATTTGGTTAACAAAGTCATTTATTCAATTATTTTAAGATTCTACAAAAAATGTGTAATTTATTTGATGTTTCTAAAATACTTCGAACCTTTTTTACTAGAAATAAGGTTCACATTAAACATAACATCACGCCCTTGATCCCCGAAGGGGTAGGCAGAGGTGCACATTATACCACTGTACAATGTAACACCCACTTTTCACTATTTATGTTATGAGTCCCATGTAATAGGGGGTGAGCCTATTGCCATATACCGAGCACAATTCCAGACTCCTTGCTACTACTGAATTTTTTTAAAAACCCAGTAAATCTTTGCTTTATCTTGAAGACTGTCACACAAACATATTAGCTACCACTAATTGGCACTGATTAGTAAGTGGATTAACAGTGTCAAAACGCTAAGTAAGTACAGGGATTAAATAAATCCTAGTAATATTATAAACTATAGCCGCAACTTCGTTCGCGTAGAATAAGTATGAATTTTAGAGCAAATATTTTTTTTTGTTTCATTTTTCTAAAATAGGAGTAGCCTGTTACTCTTTAATACATCAGCTACCTGCCAATATAAGTCTTGCAAAATCGGTCCAGCCATCTCAGAGATTAGCCAGTACAAACCAACAGATAGACAAACATTGTAAAATGTTATTTTGGTATGTGTATTGTATGTAGTAAAATACGGTTATTTTATTATTACAAACAGACACTCCAATTTTATTTATCTGTATAGATATAGAAATTTGTTGGTATGATACAGTAATAGAATAATTTTGCTTATTCCTCTTATAAGCAAAAGCTACTGAACAAATCTAAATTAAAGACATAAAAATAGATAAGAGTCTGAAATGGCCTACAAAGTACTTTTTATCTGATGCTAATCTATACTTAATACCTATATGTATAGAGCTGAAGAGTTTATGTTTGTCTGTTTTAAAGATTTTTGTTGGATAGTCCATTTGTCGAGGAAAGCTATTGTATTAATCTATAAAGCATCATGCTACAATCATTAGCAGCCAAGCAGTGGCTGACACCGCGTGAGAGTAGCCAGTCAATAATTATAATAAATACTTACGAGTGCCTTTTAATCTCGTGCACAGTCGGCCTAAGGTCTGGATCTCTCTTCAACATGTTGGTAAGTAGGGCTCCGAGCGTAGGTCCTAATGATGGCGGAGGCGGGGCCGGCTCGCCTCGACCGATGGACTCCAGCAGTCGATACACATTGTCACCTTCAAATGGGTACCGACCTGTTGTCATATTGTATCTGTGGATAGTATAACAAATAAATGAGATTCATCATCGTAATTCTAAATAGCTGAAAGTTCAGGGTTTGTTGTTGATCAATTTTAGTTCTTTTCATACATGATTTTGTACTTATAAATGACAATAATTTAACCAGTAGCCAGTAAACAACATAACAATTAGGTCAATAAATAAAACAGGTAAATCTGGCTTATTTTATCTGAACCAACACATAAAAGCAACATAAATAAACTGGTAGAGCAATCAAGTTACACATTACTTCAGAATATGTACATTTATGTAAATTTTACAATGTATGCAAAGTGACAAACATGTCACCTAAGTATATTCATACTGGATTGATGATTAATAGTTTTTAATTAATCGTGAATCACTGTTTACAAACACAATAATGTGCAATAATTGTGTAATTGAACTGTGACAAGGAATCAAATGACATTGTACTTTTACGATTTCCCTAGACTAAACAATGTCTAGCTTTCCATTTTGCAGTAAACATACCACTCCAGTGTAACATAATACGTCTAAAGAATACAAATAACTGAACAAACAAAATCTAATGACATGAAAACACCATGTACATTATATTCACAAAAAATTAAATACACCCTTTGTAAAGCAAACAATGCTATCACAAAAGGTCAGTGTTAGTAGGTAATGTTCTATTTTCATTCACTTACAATGTAACTCCACTGCTCCAGATATCTACTTTGACACCAGAAAATTGTTCAGCACCATTAGCTATTTCAGGCGGCTGGAAGGCTGGGGAACCCTGGCCAGTATAACATGTGTCTTCTGGAGAAAACATGTCTAAAGCCTGGAATCATTCAATTATTATTTAAATCACACCTTTTATTTCCAGAATTATTGATAATTTTTAAAATTCTAAATTCTCTATATACTAACCCGAGATAGAATGAAAGACCTTGATTGATAATAATCAATCTTGTGAACACAAGACTAACAACACAAGCATCTTTACATTATTATAATCAAGTAAGCAAGTTGAAGCAACAGATATTTTACATTTAACTATTTTTAACCATGAATGTAAATGTTGTCTGCAACAATTTTAGTACAAACATCTATGTACGAAGTAAGGTACACATAATGAGTGGAACAGATGATGAAACTGTGCAAGAATGCTGTATCACTCAGTGATAAGAGACATTCTATGTAAATTGCTGATATTTAGGCCAATCAAGGCACAATATACTATTATGAGTTTTAGAACTTTGTTAGGCATTGTTATTCTATGAAATGACAACATATCCATTTCTTCACCATATTGGTGACTGAAGGTATAAACAGAGGTGCATAAAAGGTGGTAATGTCACCTAAACCATAAAAGTTACTAAGTATTTAAAGTTAAATGACTTTCAAACCATAATGGGAAAACCGATAGCTTTACAGTTTCACACTATGTGTGCATGCAAAACATAAATTGTGTATTGAATCAAAGTACTCTTATTGTGATTATCAGTGCCATCTTTAAGGTCAATCTAAAATATAAACAAAAATTAATATGAATTACCTCAGCAACACCAAAATCTGTTATTTTCAATGTCTGATCAAGAGTTAGTAATAAGTTTCCTGGCTTGATATCTTTGTGGACAACACCCTGGCCATGCAAGTACTCCAATCCATCCAACAGTTGAGTGAAGTAGTCATGTGCTTGCCGCTGAGGGAATTTCTTGCCAGGGCTTCCTTCCAACATATCCTAAACAAGATTTACAATTTAATTAATTACAAGATTTCAAGGACTTTTTGGATAAACACAGCTGTGTAGCATAATTTATTTCACATGTTATTTAGTATGTTTTCATTTATAGGTATTAACATAAACAAAATCTATTATTTCCTACAGTTCTCATCTTAACGAGCTATTGTAAACAAGCATGTGTGAATCAATGTGAGTGCGATAGACCTTGAAGGGTCACATACATAATCTTGCTAAACTACCTAGTCTGGTTGAGATAACTGTCAAATAAATTAACATAAATAGTGCAATACAACAATGTTGTATGAATGCACTTCTATCTACAATATCATGTCCTTAACATATCATTAACCCTGTACCCAATTGTGTGCAACCAATTAGGTTTTCAAATTATCTGATGTTGTTATTGTTGGATTATTATGAGGACAAACAAGGAATGTCATGATGAATATTCTTTTAGCCCTAAATAAAAATAAAATTAATGAGTTTAATTACTTAGCTTTATTTAACTGTGTACAAACCTGCAGCACTCCCACACAGAACTCCATCACAAGGTACATCTTCTGTTTCTCATCATTATACATAACATCGACTAGTTCTATCACATTTTTGTGTCTAAGGATCCGCAGCAGTTGTATTTCTCTCTGTACATTCTGTTCTCCATTTGGTATTCTTCTCAATTTCCTCTTTTTCAATATTTTTACAGCTCGTCTGCAGAGCGTCTCCGAGTCCAACATCTCCTTAACTTTACCGTACGAGCCTTCTCCCAGCACATCCCCCATCACATATTTTCCTACCATTTTACATTTCTTTTTCTTATTTCTATATATAATATCTGCGCTATCAACTCTATGAAAACAGAGATTGGTTGGGTCTAAATTAAGATCTAAATCATCTATTTGATCGTTGTCTAGCCATGTCACGGAATGAGGCTCGGGACTACCGTCCAGCATGAAATTATCGTCGCTCTCTTGCGGTGCAATGATATTTGATACCTCATATTCGATATTGTCCGCATCTGGAAGACTTTCACTACTGCTGATTTTTCTACACATTCTTGGATCCATTATCTATCAAAACAACACATTTGTAAATCTATGTGTACTGCAAGGCCTTTTGTCATGAGATCATAAAGGCTATATCAAAATAAATTTATTTATTTAAATTACACATATCTCAAAATTTTCACCATTGATGTGGACAAATAACTATATAAAAATTATATTCTTTTTATTTGTATGTGTTACAATATTGATGGTAAATAAAATTATGAACGATCGCGCAAATGCTCCATTAGACAAGAACCACAGATAACACGTTTTTATTCATATTGTTTATGGATTTTGATGTTCGGGCGATGGTGTTGCCCACGTTTTATAAATCGACTAAATGTTTTAATACATTTTAGTATCATTAGACCCATGATTCTTAATAAAAATCGGTGAAAAATAATTGTTATTCAGGAATTTTAAAGGATAAATAATTTAATATAATATAAGGATATTGTTTGTGGAATTCGGTAATACCTAGTTGGTAGAAAAACTAAAATAAATAATTAACATATTTAGCAATGGCAACTCCATTGAGATGCACATCCAGTCCAGAGAACTATTGTATTTCCGGACGCGGTATTTTCAAGACTTTTTATAATTTTATTTAATTGGTAGGTAGGTATTTTAACCGTTTCAAAAAATATTACGTAATAAAAATAAAGTAAGCTGTTCTATGTTATTTAATAAACAGACATTATTCATTTTATATGTCAGTAGACAGTAGCTTCATACGCTCGTAAAACTATTTGAGGTAAAATGAGGAAAAAGTTATATTAAATCCAAATTTTATTTTTACAAGAATATTATTTATTTTTTATTTGATATCTACAAAATAAACAACAAGTACTCAGAGGAAACATTCCATGCACTTTAATTCGTAGGTACACGTACCTATTCAAAATATAATTTCATTAATCTTATCATAAATTACAATTTAATTCTAGTATTTGACTTTTTGTTTGTTCATCTCGTTTTTGAGAAGAGCTAGGCGGGTCAGGCAGGCGTCACGCCAAGCACGCCTTTCCTGTAACTTGTCCAAAGGCACCATCTTGTTCAACTGCTCGCAAATGGTGTCCGCACTCTTGCTCGTGGTCATTCGTGGAATATCTCCCATAGTCTTGCTGACGTTGTAAATGGTCTCTCCATATCTAAAAAAGATTAAAAAGTAATGATTAACTATAATACCATTTTTATTTATCTTTGTCTTATACAGTGAGTTTTTTCAGTCACAATTTTTATAATAATATAATGAAATCTCCTGAGTGAGCCGTTACTTCATTTTCTAGCAGTTTCATCTCGACTAACCTTTCGATATAAGACTTCATGCCCTCTGCATTCAAGTGTGCAGTTTCTAGGGATCCAAGAAAAGCGTATCTCATTCCAAGACCTTCAGAGATGACTTTGTCGATGTCTTCTACGTTCACAATTTTGTTGTCAACCAGACGCCAAACTTCGTCCAAAATTGCGTACCTATGAAATAAGGAAAAAGTAATTATTATATCAACTGAAACAACCTCAGTTTATTGCAGAATTATTCCAAATTCTCAAAAGTGACGAGCTGTCCAATTGTGCACTCCTCATTAAAATTGGTTAGCCCCACACCTTACGAGCTTTGGGATTGCAGATTGGTCATTGATTTTTAGAGGAAGACCTTTCTCGGTAAATGGATGTATAGCACTCCTTTCAAATCTTTCCGATAATCTTGGGTTACCCACAAGTTTTGAGTAATTTATAGGAATAGGTAAGTACTAACTGAATACGGTTGAGCACGAATCCATCGATTTCACGGCTCAGAGAAACGGGCTCCTGTCCAATCTCCAACATGATCGCCCTTGTCTTTTCACATACATCTTTCCTGGTCCATGGAGCGGGGACAATCTCTACGAGGGGAACGTAGTACGGTGGATTCACTGGGTGGGACACAATAACCTGAAAAATAAATAAATTAAATCATTAATGACTAACTGTAACATTTAGATACATTCGCTATCTAACATCATCTAGTTCTTAGCAGAGTTATCATGGATGTATTTATTTGCATGCACATGATTGAGCATTTTGCAGATATTATTAAGTACTGTAAATAGCGACTAAAATATCTAGAACAGTGGTTTTATACTAGGTAAGAAATGTCTTTAAGGAAAATTATAGAACTGGTTGAGACAAGCGGATATACCTTTATAATATTCTTAACGAGTTTATAAAATACTTAGAGGGATTTCCCTCTTCGTTATTTTTTGTGCTACTCGTCTGTCGAGCCAGTAGACTTGTTTGTTTTGTCCTTATAAGTCACTAAATAAATAATAAGGTACCGACTACACTACCGACACTAGTACCGACAGTTAGGTATCTCTATCAGTCATAATTCATTTAATACATAGCCGCTTCTACAATAGTAATGCACGTTATAAACATGACTAATATAGTTAGTAGTTGTCAAATGTAATCCAAAACTACCTTTTACATTTCACTTTTACCAGGGTAGTGGATATGTCTTACTAATTTAAAACTCAAAAACGATATAAAGTACCAATATTTATTTACCTGAGCCTTGTGTTTCATCTGCTCTGAGAACAGAGACGGTAGAGTTGTACTAGTAGAACTAGACAAAATAGTTTTGTCATCGACAACTTTGTCCAAATCTGAGTAAACCTTCTTTTTCAATTCCAGGCTTTCTGGGACGCATTCTTGGACGAAAACAGCGTCTTTGACCACGGTGGCTAAGTCAGATGTTCCTGAAAATAATTAAATATTGTGGTGAACTTCAAGTAACAGTCTTTAATGTTTAGAAGTAGGTATAAAATAGATACTGATTATGGATAATTTTGGGTAAACCATTGCATTAATCACTTGACTGATTATTGTACACTGGCAATAGTGTCTAACGACAGAAACTTAGGTATCTATTTTACAATTTCCTATCTAAAACACGAACACCTACACAGGTAGGTACCTCTTTACATTACAACATAGCCTCTTGTAAAAGGCCTTAAGTGTCTACTTAAATGTTATCCCTATCATTCTGATAGCCTGCTCAATCAAACCGAGTGCAATTCAGGAATCGATAATTATAATAGTAGGTATCATATTTCGTTATCAGACACTTGCACTAGGGAATGAGTACCTAAGTGATAATAGTACAATATTATCAATTATTTTAATGGGTAAATAAACATAACTTCCTGGTTGTAATATTACAGAGCCCATAGAAATACTAGTACAATTAGTACAACAATTCTTATTAACAAATTGCTATCTATTTACGTAATTTGACTACGTATCTGCAGTGTGTGCTTCAAAACTAACAAGGCATAGATATCGAACAAACGTTCTGTTGTTTACATACTTGTTTAGTCATCTTACAGTCTCTCCACCTATTCTATTTTCTTCGTATATTTTCCTCAAAAACTTAACGAATGTTTGCATTCAAAAGCGCGTTTATTTACTTTTACAGTTCTGTTGTTTGTGTATAGAGGTAAACAACCTAGACAAAGTTGATATCGGCTCTTATTTTTGGCTTTCATTTAAAATTAACAATGGCAAAATATTGTTTACCCTGAAATCACTGCACCACTCGTTTACATTTTTCTTTAACAAAGTAGATAAGAATTAATACTAAAACTTGACTTGTAGGCTTTATCTGCCATCCCCCTTAAAATTCACCTAAACACAGCGAGTATCAAAGCTCGAATCTACAAGCTTTTAAATTGACATCTTACAGAATACGCTGACTGATGTGCCTATCTAAGTACGTTAAACTAAGGCTCGTTTGTAGGAACAGGGTGATTTTTAGTCAGTAAGATTCTGACACTCTCTGCCGCCTCACCAAGGCGGGAGAAGTAAAAGTACGTTAAACTCCTACCCACAATATTTTCGGTTCAAAATAAGTACGCACATCTCCCACATCCTGTATATACTTAGATGAAAAAACATTACTACCTACGCGAAAGATAAAACAAGACGTGATACCAATTAATGAACAATTAAATATTTCACTGATAAGCATTAATTTATTAAATAACAACAAACGTTACATAACTAGGTTAGGTACAAGTCGTGACACTTGTAAATATTTTGAAACAAAACAATATTTTTTATCTATAGTAATCAAACTCGTGTAATCGTGTTCTTGTTAAGCAAATAATATTTAATTAAGTAGTAAGTATACCAATTGTGAAAATTTTTATTATAATCTATATAAGTTACTGACTGACTGCCTCGTTGGCCGAGTGGACCTAAGTGCGATTGCCGGGCACGGAGTCTCGGGTTCGATTCCCGAGTCGGGCAAAATAAACCCATCGGTTAAAAAATAATCGGTTTTTAAAAAAATCCCGTAGTAACACGGAGACTGGAATTGTGCCCAGTATATGGCAATAGGCTCACCCCCTATTACCTACATGGGACTCATAACATAAATAGTGAAAAGTGGGTGTTATATTGTACAGTGGCATTAAGTGCCGTAATGTGCACCTCTGTCTACCCCTTCGGGGATGATAGGCGTGATGTTATGTTGTGTTATGTCTAAATAAGTTAATAGTATTTTTTTAATTAATAGGCTGTTTGTTGTATTAAAATGTATCTGTCGTGTTACTAACAAATCCAATTTCTACACACCGGGCAAAATTCCAAACCTATCAAGATTTATCGAAAACCGACAATACCAATATTATTTTGTCAATTCAGAAATCGAAGTCGATAGGTGTAGTCGCTTGCGCTTATGACCATTTGACACCAAAAAATTCAAGCATTGTATTGATATAAGTAAATACAATCACGAAAAGCCACCGAGGTCAAGGGGTCAGTGACCCTGATAAAAGAATCATCAGCTGACGCTGTCATATCATTGTTTACCTACAATCTACATATAACTATACATATCAATAATTTGTAGATTCTATGTATAAGTATTTCAAAAATTCTTTGAAGCAGCTGTAGATACAACGGATAGCGAATGCTAACGTAGGTAAGTATAAAAGAATTGACGGGTATTTCAAAGAATTATAAGTTACCAGAAAGCAAAAAACAATTTCGGCCCTTGGTTTTTGAAAAAAAATGTGCTACGATGTCTCTACTATACTAAACTTGGTACCTTTTTGCAGGTAATCGATATATTTCTTACATTTACAAAACATCTTTGGATCCGTAGCGTCTACCTACGGTCCTTTTTGCAGAACAGGTCATAAATAAATAAATAAACTAAATATTTTGTCTACTCTAAGAAATAGTTTGAAATAGTCTTTAAACATAAAACAACATAAAATCACGCCTTTTATCCCCGAAGGAGTAAGCAGAGTACATTATGCCACAGTACAATGTAACACCCATTTTTCACTATTTATGTTATGAGTCCCATGTATTAGGGGGTGAGCCTATTGCCATTTACCGGGCACAATTCCAGACACCGTGCTACTAATGAGATTTTTTTTATAAAACCCAGTAATACTTTGCGCGACCCGGGTATCGAACCTGAGACCCCTTGCCCGGCAGTCGCACTTGCGAGCACTCGGCCGACGAGACAGTCTTTAAAAAACTCTGAATACTTAAGTTGACGTTAGCTCACCTAATTGGCATATACTTTGACCCATTCCATATGGAAAATATATCCAATTTTTTGTCAATTGCACAAACAGAAACCTATTCAAACGTTGTGAATTACGAAGCCCATTTTCTTATTCTCACCTTTAATACACGAGAATTGCTGTTCAGCATTTAGTTTCCCTCTCAGCAAACCGTCTCTTTCCAAAGTCTTGAGCTGCACTTTGATGTCAGCCAATGCATCGGTGACCTGTTGCGGGACGATATCGAATATCGTCACTTGGTACCCCACGGACGCAAACAGCATGGCCCATGAACGGCCGATAAGGCCACTAAACAAATAAACAAAAACATATTTAATAAAATAAGATTATGAAATTTATTGAATAAGTTTAGCCTCATTGATGAAGTGGCAATTGTTCTTAAGTTGAGCACAATGTTATCAGACCTTCGGCCTTTAAAATAATCAGTGGAGTACCCAAATAACAGTGCCTAAGGTAGTGTTGAAACAAGGCTATAAGAGAAATATTTATAACCCTACATTTACAACAAACCCAATGCGTGCTCTTTGCAGTTTTGCGGCATAAAGTTGTATCTAGTGGCGGCATAAAGTATGGGAGAGCCAAACTTCGGCACGCATGGGCCAGCTCGACCGGAGTGATACCACGGCCTCATAGAAAACCGACGTCAAAAACAACGCTTGCGTTATGTTTCGTCGTGTGAGTGAGGTTACCCCAATTACCCCCCCCCCCTCTCCAGTCTCCCCAATTCTCGAATCCTCCACAGTCCTCAAATTCACAATTCACAAAAGGCTGATAACGCACTTTTAACGCCACGGTGTTTCAGGTGTCCATGGGCGGCGACGATTGCTTACCATCAGATGATCCAAGCTCGTTTACCGGCTGATCCCATAAAAAAAATCTAATACTATTTATATTTATGCCGTAAACAAAATTACACATCAATGTAACGAGAGAAATGTAATTATGTTGACGTGAACAAATTGAAAGCATATTCAATGTCATTGCAAGTTGTTTACCGATCAGCAGACCTATCACTGAATCAGAAAGACGTCAATCACAAAAGTTATGCAATTTATAAAGAGTATAAGTAGTCAAATTTATTCGAACACTCTTATGTTGTTAATAATATTAGGTGTTTGTTTTTTTTTCACTCATCACATAAAATAAAAGCCTTACATTAATTTTCTGTTTATATATAAGAAAATTAATCTGTTCCAAATCGAACCTAGGGTCTTGTGTCAAGCAGCACTAAAGAGCAATGACGCACTCAACTTTAAAATTTTATCAATCACACCACTTTATTTCTTCGCGTGACAATAGCATAACATGAAGGTTTTCGATTTATCTGAAGTAAATTAACCTCTATATGAACTTAATGATAATTTCATATCTTTTAGAATAATAACAAACTTATTGATAGTGATCGGGAATCAGTTTGATGTTTGTCACAACAACTAGTACATAAGATTGGCTTTTGAAAAGGCATCAATTGATTCGATATATCACTGATCGAACTATAATCATTTGAAAGTTCCCAATGTTCTTATGCTGGTCTGCTTAGATTATATGTGGATTATAAAGCCAGTCAAGTAGTTGCTACAACTTTCTTGACGTTGGCGATCATTGGAGATAGAAAGTATTCTTATTATCTGATATTGTTAGCTCGAAAACATTATGCATTTGTTATGAACCAATACATAAGTACCTATCATATTTCTTTTGTGTAATTCATAGTAAAATACATTAGCCAAATATTAATAGAAACCGGTGTTATTTTGTTTAACAAAACAACAAAACAAAAACAGATAGAGATACATATCCAGAGCCAACCTGAATTGAGTACTATTTTTCTATGAAATTAAGTGGAATCAAACCTTGAGTAGGTAAGGGTAGGGTATATTCATTTAATTAATGCTATAAAACCAAACTTATGCTCTAAATCTAAGTACTTTACCGTAACGAAATTAACGATGATTATTGTGCATCAAAAACAGTGATTGAAGATAAGTATAATTATTCAATAAAGCCATAATAATAAACATGGAATCTAAAAAGGTAATAATTATAAAAAAACAATGGTTAAATAATTACCTGCCAACAATGCCGACTTTTTCAGATTTAACGGAGGCCATGGTATTGTGGGTTTCTTGACTTACTTGCAACACGGCCGACACTCGACTGCGGACTAGTGAATGACACCGCCAAGCTACGCACACCGCTTAAAATACAGCTAAATAAACTAGTTATCGCTTGTTCCTGACAAGGTCTCTCAATTTTGCAAGTAACAAACGTTATCAGGAAAATAAACTTATAATACAACTATTGATTTGTTAATTGAAACTATTCAGAATTATTACTACAACGCAAATATGGATTATGAGTGTTATGATCCCACTGACCCATTGTAGTAGGATTCCATTCATGTTCAATTGACATAACTGTTGACACATACATACACATAAATATTCCATCTCCTGCCTAGTGTATTCTGGTGATTGAGAAAATGGTAGTAGGAGAAAGAAACTGTTTTTAAAACTGTCTCGATATAGATCAGCATCTCGATTTTGTATATCGATCAAAATTACTTTTTCCATTTTGTTTTTTATATCCATATCAATCAGAAATGGAGACTAAAAATGAAAAATATGTTACCCAATAAGTAATAAGGTTTTATTTTTTGCAACTACGTAAAGTGCATAAATTGATTGAATGCCCTGAATGACATAAAAACTTTCATCAACAGCACACACATCAACATCATTAACAATCATTGGCAAATGGTATGCTTGCAGTTTAAACAGAGAATGTAGGATTGTGTGTCAATGAACCTGAATGTATCGAACTGCTGATACGTGAAAAGTATATTTTTCTGTACGTAAAAAGTGTTATTACAATAAGTGTAATTAAGTATCATCTCTGACTACCACTGTGGAGAACATAAAGCACGATGTCAGTTTGCTTCTTATAAATATAAAATACTAACTTCGACGATGACTTCGTACGCGCAATTCCATAATCTCCCGTACCTGTAGGATTTTCAGAATTTTTTCTGTCTCAAGAACCTTCTCCTAATAATAAAAAATACATCAAAAAATAATTAAGTAGTGCAATCGGCCCGCGTGATGCCGTGACCAAGGGAAAAAGGGATTCATTTTAATTATATATGTAGATAATGTATTATAATTATGTATTCGCAGGTCAGGAAAAAGGAAAAGGTCAGTTGATCCTAAAGTTTTTAGGGGAGGCCTATGTTCAGCAATGGAACTCGTATAAGAATATTAATTGCTTACAATAGCTCTACCAATAGCAGACACAAAAATATAAGAAAATTATTGTCGCATTTTCCACTCAGCTCTACTATCTTCTTGATCATAATTACATAAATGTACCTATGTTTATCTACAGCTTAAAAGTAAAGTTCATAATCGATGACATGAAACATGTTATGATAACAGATGACATGTTTGTTTTAATATTATCTCAAATCGTTTGTAGGTACTGCGTTTGTCGAACCATGCGTTAAATTTTACTCCATGCGCGAAAATCTCAAAAAACGATAAAACAATCAAAAATATAAGGATCGATTTACTCTATCGATGTACCAAAAACCGATTATTGCCTGAAAAGGTAAAACTATTTAATAAAAATCGTCTCAAGTTCGTAGAATTAATTATTTTATTATAACTAATGACCTTACGAGTTACATAATTTGTACTCTAATCGAATTATAACAAAATAGTAGTTATACTTATAGCTAAACAGATAGTGATCATTTGTAATTAAACATTAATAAAATAAAAACTCAATAAAACTGGACATTTGAATTTACGATAAAACATAAAAAGCCTTTCAATATAATTTTCAAAGCCTTTAAAACTTATACGTAGATAATATCATTATTTAATTATTTTTTCCGCCTGAGATCAACAGGAGAGATTCTTACCGAATAAATAAGCAATAATAAAATAAACAAATATAACCATCTTCTTAAGAATCATCAAGATTAACCAGGTATTCATTTACTACTGGATTCTGATTCGCGTAGTACAAAATATAATTGCAATATGTAAAAAACCTATCAGTACCTAATAAGAGGACGATATATTATGATTTTAATAATATCACATTCGATTAACAATCATTCTCAAACAATCTATCACGAGACACATAACTATATCTAGTTCGCATACTTATTTAATTACATACATACGTAATATAACAATACTGGGTGTTATGTGACAACTCGTAGGTACTACATAAAAATTGTTTAATTTTTTTATATCAAACAATACAAGATATATAAATATCTAATAAATAACTACGTGCCGGTTCGTAAGTTTTTTTTACCGGTAAACGAGCAGATCGGAGTACCTAATGATATGGAATCACCTAGAATCGGCGCAGCCCTTAGACACCAGCAACACAGGTGGTACAAGTGCGTTGCCGGCTTTTAGGGGTTATTTTGGAGATTTGGGGATTGGGGGGTAACATTTATCTACCAAATAAGAAAAAATCCGTAACAAATATTGTTATGGACATGGACGGACTATTAATCTACTGACATGCAGTTCCCGCAATCGCCTCAGTGGTGTCGATGCTGAATATTCTGTAGTTGACCTCATTGGGGTCGATAGTCTTGTAGAGGAAGCGAGCCAGCTTGTCTGTAAGAACCCATAGGATTCCTTCATCATCCACCTGAAATGGAAAAAATACGTCAATATTTTCGTACACAATTATCTCACGGACACAACATTAAAGCTTACTTTACTTTAGTAAGATCAAGTAAGATCTTTGACACCACAAATTCACCGAATTGCAGCAATTTTGATTAAATAATAATAATTAAACGAATAGTAACAACATAACATAACATAACATCACGCCTTTTATCCCCGAATCCTGGAATTGTGCCCATTACCGGGCACAATTCCAGGCTCCGTGCCACTACTAAGAAATTTTAACATGAATAGTAACAATAAGGGAAATTTTTAAGTTACCTTCAAGTCGTTGGGGAACTCGAAAAGTTTGGGGTCAGACAATATGAGAGGATTGTTGTCAGGCGTGTACGGCTTGTTGGAGTTCCAGCACGCCACTCCATCACGGTTCACCTGAAAGTTATCAGAGTCAAATGTGAAATGGTTCATTATCAAAATATTTATTTCATACATAGTAAAAGGTATTGGTAAACGCTCTAAGAATTCCATAGATTAAATTAGATTAAGATGTCCAACTATGGTTCTATTGTACCTACTTAAAATTGTTATTATACTAACAAATACATAATTAGGTAGGTAGCTGTCACTGCTCATAATAGGATAAGATGCACTGGCATTGAATAAACACCAATGACTAAAAACCATACCTTAAGGTTCTTATAGATTTTTTTATGAATAAATTCTATTGTCAGGTACGTGAGATGAAGGTTGCGGGCTGCAGGTGGTCCTTATTGTATAGCCAAGATCGAGTAAATAGGTATAGAAAGAATGTCAACCGTGGTGAAGGTTCGCCATTCGATATTATTGTTAACGAAGGTTATTCAAATTACAGTGACTTCGATTAAGTAAGTGCATGTTCGTGTATGTATACAAATTACCGTTTATTAATTCTTAATTTTAGTAATTAAATTCTGCAATTATTTGCAATATCTAAATGGTTTTCGTTGCCCAATCATATCCTTGCAGCTGTGAGAAAAATATGACAGATATTATGGCACACCTACATGTCTCATTATACCTTTCTCTTTCTTCCGCATTCTTACTTGTTAGAACTAGACCTTGATACCAATTTATTGCTTACCTGAGTGTAAAACAGGACATGTGTTTTAGGATCGTAGTAGCTGGCAGCTGATTGGGTGCGTTCACCTCTGTCACCCAGAAGCTGTAAAGAAAAAAGAACTATTTACTAAAACATCTAGAATGACAAAAGCTTTCTACGTAAACAAAAGCATTAAGAGCTATTTATAAATCCTAACGCGACTGAATTGTTTCATTGTTGCTTATAAATAATGCAGGGCAGGTTTGCGCATGGCAATAAGTTGGAATTCGAACCTTGAAGTCATGGAATGCTTCGGTCTTGTCGATATGCTTGTAATTACGGAGCAACTCCGTGGAGACGCAGAACTCTTTGGTGCTGGAGAATGCATGGAAGAACATTGTCCTATACCTGTGAACAAAACAATTCACTATTGTGAACTAAAACTTTGCTATTTCGACATACAATGCTAAAAATCATAATTAGACGTTAGATAAATTAAGAGTACCGTCGTTCGACCTCGGTTTTGAGAGCTTTTATTAATTTTTGGGGTCAGTGTCGAACGTCACATATTGTTCGGTAATTTATTAACGTAATGAGCGAACATACGTTTTTAAGATTATGAATGATAGTTCTAGACAATTAAGTTACGACTGTTTTTATTACTACTGATATACATTAAACTTGATATTTCAAAACTGCAATTAGATTGGTGCATGTCCAGTTTGTTGAATACGAATTGCAAGGATAGCACGTAGATTGCAATTAGGTGCTCTAGTGACCTTTATTCACTTTTTTCTTATGATACGAAGCCTACAACCTGCCATACCGCTATGTGAAAATTGACCTTAACTAAAGAAAGAATGTTTTAACTCTTAAACTGATGTAAATAAAATGCATCTTTCCGTAACAGGTTGTTAAAAGTGTTCTTATACTGAGTTCTTCTAGACTAGTGTCAATTTTCCTTGATCAAATCGAAACCTACACCATTAATTTTAATTATCCTATCATTCGTTATATTATTCACTTACCCATCCTCTCTAGGTTCAGAAAGCGCCAACGCGAATACCCCATCAGTCCACTGGAACTCGATACCGCTTACATTGTACGAACCAGCCAAAGGTTCGAAGTGGAAGTAGTGATGAGAAATCCTCCAAGAGTCGTCCTGCTTGAGACTGTACACCACTACTCCATAGGCTCCCAAATCCGGGATGTACGCGTATGCGTCATCACAAGTGTCTTTGTTTACATCTACAATCTGAAGTACAAAAAAGACATGACATGAGCTCTAACTCGAACGTTTTCATTGAACTCGCGGGCACTAGGCATAATGGCGATATAGCCAGAAATCTGCTACTCTGCATTCATTTCTTTGGAGAAGACAGTTTGTATGTATTTTTACTTACAATATTAGCGAAGAACGAGTCTTCCTTCATATCACTAGCCTTGCACTGATACCGATGAATAAGCTGGTCTGTCTTCAAGTCAAAGATCGCAATCGAGGGCCCATTGATTTGATTTCCAGCTCCTAGACAAATAAAAACAACAACGGTCAGAAACTCAATCATTTACCGCTGGAATACTGTAGCAACAAAATGAGGCTTGATGAATAAATGGCAATGGCACTTCGATGTCGTAAAGCCTCAAAACATGAAGAGGAAGAAGAAGAATTATCATAACATGAAGAAGAATAATTTATAACAGGTCTTAAAATATAGGTAAGATGTGCTTCTTTCATGTTCTTTACTTATTTATAGATATAATGAAATAGGCTAACTATTTACAGGGGATCTTTAGGAAATACTGTATATAACTAGTAATGACTGCGTCCCTATCGTAATTGTAAATCACAAGCTAAACTTTGATGGTTTATAAATACAACCTATCACAATAATAGGGAAACAAGACCAATCACCATTAAACTTAAGTTCCTAACAAGTAATATTAAACCAGCACGGTTTAATCAATATTTATGTTACTTATATTAATATGCAGTTAATTGAATGTTGTTTTGTAGTCAAGTGATCACGATTTGATCCAGATTATTACGTTTATTTATTAGTTCATTATTTATTTATTGGTAGTTAGTTCGACTTACGGAATAGCGTTGGTGTCTTATAGTTTTGTTCGTTTTATGAAATTTCTCACTAGCTTTTTTTAGTCGCAATCGCATCTTAATATTTCGAAACTCAAATAGGTACCTACTTGATGATATGGTCTATACTGAATTCTATATTCTAATTACTCTATAGTATCAATCAATACACTAGTACCTATATATGTACCTATGTCCCTACAATATAAGTACCTACTTATATTTGTGAGTTTGTCCTTAACGACAATATATAGCGTAACCATCACCTCTCGGCCGAGCAAGCAAAGACAGGAACTTGTGTTTTGTCGTTGCAAAACTACGGTGTCAACATCCGTACACACAATGATTCATTATTTTTCTGTGTTGAATGTTTAAAAAAGAACACATTTACTTTTGTCAGTTATCATCACACCTTTTTGTGGACAAGAATGTGTCATTTATAGCAGTGACGAGATTATTGACTTTCTACATAGGTATTAAAGGTAGGGACTAATGCTTACTACGGTGCTTCTTGAACTGTTATGAAAATATACCAAAATGAAAAATTATATATTAATATTTTGTTGCATGAGACATAAAACCGAAGGTAAGCCATAACTTAAAGATCAATTTATTATAAGGAACAATAATTACAGAAATATCTAGAGTCTAGATGCCAGATGACAATGAATTAGACACACTAATATCTACAATAGATGTCTGTTTGCCGGAACGCAGATATACCCGAGACACAAAGTGTTTTCTATTATTTCTTATAAACCGACATACAGGAGGTTTAATTATAATACTAGACTAGACAAGGACCATAGACTTGCACAATTCGAAATATTAAAAAAGCAGAATTGAAACACTAAAAAAATAAACTAAAACAATTAAATAACTGTGTCAAGTTCTTACAACATAATTCTATTCATTCACACACCTAGGTAAAAAGTCTTGATTGATGGATATCAACTCCTTTTATGTCGTAAATTGCCAAGAAGCATAAAACTTGAGTTAATTATACAAAATAAAATCAGATACTGCAGTGTGAATACATTTTCTCATACAAACTCGGTCACACAACGCATGCGAAATATATGTCCAAAAGAGTGAAAAGACATTTGATTGTTTTGTATTGTTTTCTCAGTAATTATGTCTGTTCATGATATTAGTTTAAGCACAATTACAAAGCTGCAACATCAGTGGCAAAAAGTTTTCCATATTTTTTTAAAACCTCATAATAAGGTGTCTAATATTTGGTGTTACATGGCTATATAATTCCTTTAGCGACTATCATATGCTATTCAATACAACGCAAAAAGCACTTTACTTATACCATCATTTCGACAGCAAAAGTAGAGCATTCTTTGAAACAGCGAGTATATAAAATACCGGTCTTATTAAGGTACGTGAGTTCTATTTTTAGATCTTACCAAAGATGTCCGCCATTCCAGAATCGATGACCCACAGTCTGTCGCACTCGTCCACAAACACTCGGAAAACTGAGATCAACGAGCTGTTTGAAGGTAATTCCTTTGCGTCATCTGGTACAAAGTTGTCCTTAAAAGATGGATATGGTTTTAACGCCTGGTCTTGAGGCCCATCTAGGTCTACGTAGTTCAATGTAGAAGCTACACCAGCCTTCCATCTGGGTACAGTAACAAATACTTTGTTCTTCCAACGTGCTAATCCTAAAGGCAGATTGTTCTCAGGAATAAATCTCTTTTCATTGATAGCATTTGCTCTACTCTCCGGAGTCTCCCAAGCAAAGTCCATCAGTTTCCATGCGAATCGTAGCTGTGGTGTGGCGGCATGACACACCGACATAACCGCAAGGGCCACGACGAAGCCGATTGCCCTCATGTTTAATCTGGAAAAAAACACGCCGTTTATAATGTTTTCAAGATGCCATATACAAAGTCTTAATAATTCCGGTTAGTTACATGGATAATTAAAACAAATGTGATTTATCACTTCAACTCTCGCAAGAAATCGGTAATTACCTTAGGTATACAGCTTGATTGAAGTATAAACGATTAATTGCCTACAAAGTAAAATACCTTTATTATTTTGTAAGGTTGAAATATAATGACAAAACTTCCTTTTAGGTTTCGATTTCGTAAATGAACCAAATAAGTAAACAATTCGCCAAATTAGATAATTAAAATATCGTATAGTGAGATTTTCGTAATTAAATTTCGCGTCTGGTATTTTTGAATGGTGACAATTGTACTCATCGCAGTGAGATGTTGCAACGTGGTAATGACAGTATTGTGAAGCGGAGCATCTCTCAAACCCTATCATAACAGTTGGCTCACGTTTTTGCAGATGGCTTGATCTTATTATTGAGAAACGACAAGTTAGCTGTATTCTTCCTTATCGAACAGATCGAGCTTGTTATGTATTCGGATAGCATGGGAACTGTGACAAGAGTTGCGTAAAACGAAATAAAAGGAACATCACGGTGTTCATAAATGTTATACAAAGTTGTGGTGGTTTTGTCGAGTGAGAAACACGAAGATATTATAACCGGTACATAAATACATTAATGTATTACTTCCGATATAAGTTGTAATTAAACAGGAACAAGATATAAGGTGAGAGAATGTGCGAAGTCACTAGTTTTTGCGACTGTTGTTCAAGGTTCGCGGGTAACTTTATGATTCTTGATTGTAAGAAAACTCGTTAATAGAATCATCAAATATAAACAAACTTATTTATGATCGTTTGTAATGATGTCTACCGTAATTACTAGCAGTGTGGTAATAAATCTACGCAGTCACTTAGTACCTATTTGCTTGGTTTACTTAATTTTGCATAATGGGCCCATTGTTATGAGAAACTTCCTGTATATTCTTAAATTAAATAACTGTTCTCTTTAGTTTATGTAGCTGTTAACTATGATATTTACTTATCGTTTAATAAACCGTTCTTTTATCTCTGAAAACGGTTATTGTGGGAATTTTAAGTCCTATGAGATTGTCTATTGCCCGAATACTGAAGCGCTATTCAATTTAATTCGCGCTTAAGTATAGTTCTGTCGAGCCGCGGAGAACTTAACGGGTTACCGGGGCTCCGGCTCGAAGTGCAGGAGTAGGAACAGGGTGGTTTTTAGTCAGTAAGAGTCTAACACTCGTTCGCGCCTCACCCAGGCGGGAGAACGCATTCGATAATTATCCCCCCTTAAAAAAAAATTATAGTTCTGTCACTACAAATTATTTGTAAGATGACAGAGGAGATGGCACGATATTAATTACAATTCAAAATTGAGTAGCCTTTCAATATTAGTATTATTATATTATACATTATTAGTATACAGTACATTAGTAGTATACAGTATACATTATAGAGGTACATTATTAGTATTCAAATAAAAATAAATGTTGTTTCAGATGGTATATACACTGTTAATGGGACTAGTTGACATACAAAACGTCCATGGAATTAGAATTTTAACTCTAAAACTTAGGTATTAGAATACAGCTGTAATTAAAGACTACTTTTTTAAATAGAAAATGAACAAACTACTTATAATTGGCAGATACATTCACACAGTTAGTGTGGTGGCTGGGCAACCGGCTGCCATGCAAAGTGTCGCGGGTTCGATTCCCGCACGGAACAACTCTTTGTGTGATCTACAAATTGTTGTTCCGGGGCTGGGTGTCATTTATATGTAAACTTGTATGTTTGTAAACGCACCCACGACACAAAAGAAAATCCTAGAATGGGGAAAAGATTTTCAAAAAAAAAATGGCGCCTATTGACTTCCGAATTTTCTATTTACAAAAATACAGAGTCAATTATTATTTCTAATTGAAAAGGGGAAATACCCACTGCTATAGGTTTTCCTCATAGTATTTCGGGTTTCCTACCTACTTATCATAAACCGCAAAAATTAATCTCCTGTCATTATTCACTAAATATAATGGGTAGATCAGAAAAACTGCAACTTACGTACATAGTTTAACAGGAAAGATCAAAAAAGTACAAGTAGTTAGGAGCATTATTTATTAGGTATTTACCTGTATCTACGTCACAATAGGTGTGGACAGTGGATCGTGATGACTCAGGTTTGTTTAGATAACTGTGCCTATTCTGTAAAACTAGACTTTTCCCGCAGATGCATTCGTAAGTAGTAAATTACTTCTTTCTCTGTTCACGTTGGAATGTTTGGAATATTCTGATTAGTGATCCTATCGAGATCATTACAACCCAAATATTATTAGTAGTAGTAGTTTCTATTAGTCCATTGATAATAGAGTTTAGACCTGAGAGTATTCTTGCGAAATAGACACTAATACTTATTTTATTAATAAACAAATTGACAAGTATCATAAACCTACTTTACATAAACCTAGGTGGGCGCAAGGAAAGTCGTAGCTTTCTCACACTAAATCAAACATAACTTATTTAAATAAAATTTATTTTTTAGTTAAATTATGTTTGTTGTTTTCGCGTCAACTTGCGTCAGTTGTATGCGTCACGTCGGGTATTTTATTCAATACACTTCTATATTATACTAGCGCGCCCCGGCTTCGCACGGGTGCAATATGCATGTATTATACATATAAACGTTCCTTAAGAATCACTCTATCTATTAAAAAACCGCATCAAAATCCGTTGCGTAGTTTTAAAGATCTAAACATACATAGGGACAGACAGACGGTGGATAGCGACTTTGTTTTATACTATGTAGAGATTATTAACATCTAATATACAGGTAACTACTTGAAATATTGTGTTAACAGAAATATAGTATAGATTTCTTTCTTTTATTAAAATCAATAATATAGGCACTTAAACCAATAGCAAGTATTTTAACAGTAACCAAAAGTTTACCTAGGAATTATGTTAGTATTACGAAAACAATAAGTGAAAAGCTTTTTGAACCAACAGGAAGTTTTCTACAAATAAATATCTGCATAACTGTAGGCACTCTTTAATATGCATAAAATATTGAAAACCTACAAAAACGTTTCCTTTCCTTGTATGACACTGCAGTTCAGTGCCGAGTACTTAACAATACTATTAACTAATTTGTGTTTTGGATTGATTCATTTGTGTTTTTCAAAATAAGAATAAAACATGAACTAAAAAATCGATTAATGCGGTAAGTAAATTATTTTTGATTGGAAGAAATTATCAATGTTAAACCTACTATGATTTTAAGGCTAGACTAACATCTCTGATAATACCAAGTTGAAAAATTGCGACAAAATTTCGGGGAAAAACGTTAAAACTGTGAGAATTTGCAAAAATCAAAAGGAGCAAATAGTTCCTAATAAATAAAATCAATGAATGAAACTGGAGCATGCACTAAATCGATTGTAAAATGTTAATAAACTTACGTTTAGCTTGAAGTGGTAGAGTAAAGCCGAAGGTAGTGCGTAGTGGGGGTCAATCAGCCCGCGACCGGTTCAACGGGACCGCGCAGACAGACTAAACAGTTCGAGGTCTCACAAGCCTTTATATATACATAACAACTTCTCAATACAAAGCCTTCTTTCCATACTCATACTATTCTACGGTTCATTTTAGTACAGGCTCCGAAATAGCTGTGACTGTAAGTTATCATAAAACATTGTAGTTAAGCCCTATGAATTAAATAGGTAAGTAATTTGTTCAATCCAAAGATGTGTTCGAAAAAGGTTACCAATAACTACTCGTGTTTACGCTTAACCGATTGCTATACAGCACCTATTACTATGTCATGTTTAAACACTCGGCGATTGCGCGATCGCAACGTTGTGAATTCGACTCGGATAGGTAATTCAAGGCCCATCCCCGTGACCACTACATCCGTTGACCATTCAAACAGACCAATTACATTTTTATCCACGACCGACGAGCCTGCGCTAATTTGCGAAAAAAAAACTAAAATGTCACACTGAATTGAATATTAGTACCAGATGAGTATTGTTCGTGATGATGCGTGATATTATCTGGCAGGCCCGGCGGCCTAATAATACCGATTATGGATCTCTTACAATAATAACAATACAAAAAAAACATTTATATAAAGGCAAACTTCATGCCATGCGTAAATAATTGTCATCTACTTACCTCTATACCCGTCGTTGATTATAACTGCATATTACTATTCCGGAGTTTCGAGAAACTAAAAAGTATTTTCGAGTTGATGAGCCGTTTACATACCCAATTCTAATTAGAGCTTCTTATTACAAACCGTACTTTAAAATATTGGATTAAATCAAGCATACTTACTTAGTATCACTTCTGATATCTGATTAATACTCCTAAATGGAGCACTGGAACAGGTCGTTTACCGTGCATGCACTATGATTTATTTACATACAGCATATAATGACAGTTTATCTAGAGGTATATAATATTGTTTATAACATGTAATATTAGAGTTGCTCTGTTACTACAGCCGTAGCTTGTAGCGCGTTTTCCTACCATCTCCTAGGCTAATAATTAATACCGGGAAAATGCTGGTACGCGCTACGAACTACGCGCAATGCACTACGCACTACGCACTACGACTACGATCTACGGCATAGCATTAGGGCTTGTTGATTTGAGGCTACATACCCTGTAGGCTTGGAAGTAACATTTTGTGGAATATATTATACCAATTTATATATTCTCGTGGTCTTAAAATTTTTTATTTTTAACGGCATTGTACACCTGTTCAATATAGATACCATGGTTTGTATTAGCCACTTTTGTTAATGATGTGCACCTTGTAACAGAACAGTAATATTTTTATACCATAAGGTAATTCCAAACTCGTCCTATTTCTGTGAATATAATAACTTAATAATACTTTGGCTGCTGTTGGGTATTTGTGCTAACAATGGCACGACTTACACGGTAGAGCCAAGTAGGCTGCGCGACAT